CGAAACGAAAGAGAGCTGGTTTCCTCTGTTGCGTCGAGTGGCTGGGCGATCGCGAGTGCTCATTGTTTCACGGGCACAATAATGGGCCCGCGTCTCGCTCGCAGAGCCGGGACAAGTGTGCGAAAAGCCGAGAGGGCGCCGTTCCGTCCCAGGGAAAGAAAAACGAAAGGCGGAACGGGGGAGGGCGAGTCGAGGGAAAGAGAGAGAGAGAGAGAGAGAGAGAGAGAGAGAGAGAGAGAGAGAGAGCTCGCAAGAGCGATAGTGAGAGTGAGAGAGAGAAGGAGAGCGCACGAGCTAGCATAAGCGCGGAGGATCGTCCGCACAAAGAGCGCGCAAAACACACAAACAGCCGGATTGCAATAATGGATGCGTGTTGTACAAATACGATATCGGCTCGAGGGGGCTGCCGCGGGCACGTGACCCTTTCAAAAGGACTCGGAATATAACGAACACCCCCAATGGCGTAACCCCCACAGGGGGCACGCTCCGCGCTCGTGTCCTACGACAGTTAGCGGGGTTAACTTACAAGCCTCACCGCTAATACGTGCTAGAACATGATTTTTTTCCCTGCGACCCCCGGCTGCAGCTACCTTCTCTCCTTTTTCCTTTTCTTTCGGAGCTGTATTTTTTTTCTTCTTGGCTCCGATACGTTGTTACCGGTCCGAATGATCGTTTAATGGTAATCGCTTCCAGGACCCGCTCTGCTCCCCGTTTATTATATTCTTGCTGGTTTCGCACGCTGATGCAACATCCTCGATTCTCCGGGCTCGCTTGCGACTCGATCTTTTCACGAGAACTACTTCTATTCTCGTCGCTTCGATTCTCGATATTGATACCTTTCTATCACGTTCGCTTGCTTCTTGGCGCGTTCATTTATTTTGAATACAGACTGTAGTCATTCTCGTCGGACTCTGATTCGATGGAGTTTAGGACTGTACAGTTCATTCAGCATTATCTGATTTTTTTGTTAATTGTTAAGCCTTCGCACTCGAACGTTCTCTCTCGGCGGACAAGATAAAACTGCTGACAGTTGTACTTTCAAAATTAACTATTTTTGTTTCGTAAGATCTATTTCAGTAGAATCTTTTATCTAATTCTATTTATTTATATATATATATATATAGATTAATTGTTTCCAACGTTTTGTCATTTTATATTTTCTTTAAAATGTTGCTTACTGTCTTGCCAATAAATACGTTTGTGTTTTTGTAGGTGATCTGAGAAAATTTTCTGGGCACAAAGGGTTAATTATACGAGATCATTTCTGCGGCTGTAAGGGAAAACGCCGAACGTCGTACAGTTTTCGCGAAAACACTGATTCTTGCCACGAAGAAGAAGAAAGTCTTGTATTTGTAAGACATTTTATTCAAAAGTAGATATAAAAGAAATTTATAATATTTATATAAATATATATATTATAAATTTATAATAATTTTTTAATTTTGCCCGACAACGAAGCAAAAGTACAGCAATTGATCACGGTAACCGGCTCTGCTACCCCATAGCGAATAAATATCCCCAGAGATTTTTTAACTAATTTCGACTCTGTCCGCATGTGAACTCGCGCGATTCGAGTGACCGATTCGAACGATGCGCTGCGCGATCCACGTCCCGAAAAATATCGGCGAGCCTCGCCGATAAATCACCGGGGACAATTAGCGAAAATACGCGGGCGACACGATTCGCAGCGGCGCGTCGGAAGTCCGTACTTAGGATACCAAACGACAGCAATTTGAGGCCCGTAAGGACACGTGTCGGGATAAACCGCGTGCCTATAATAGCTTCTGAATTGCGCGCACGCCCTTCGCTATTCTGGCCCGTCTGTTGCGTGCACGCCCCGTAGAGAGAGAGAGGCCTCTCTCTGGCCGGGGCGTAGTGTGACGTTTTTATCTGAACGCGATATCTACGCGGTGTGTCACCGATACCGTGATTCCTGACGATATCACGGAAAGCTCTCGTGCCGCGGATTACTTCATGCTTAAGGTGGCGGGTGACTGCACACTATGACGACCCACACATAGAAGAAAAGCCATATACGTATATTAGTTTTAGAGGTTTCTATCAAGTAAAACTGACGCTTTAATATCGAAATGTGCAGTTCGTAAGTGGAAAATTTAGATTCCCAAAAGACTAAACTGGGGTTCTTCGGATGTAGAAATGTCCGTTTTGCAGTTATTGCGGAGATATTTGCAATATTCGGCCAGAGTGGTGACGGTGGTGATGGTGGTCACACCATCCCGAGCGATTAGCGACGACGCGTTTCGACAAGCCACTTCCGCGAAACTTTTACGAGATCCTTCGCGCGAGATCCAATCGCAAATCAGAGTTCCAAGAGTCATCGGAGTTCCAAAACTGCGTTTTCGAAGCAGAGTCGAGACTGAATATATTGGGTTGTCCGGAAAGTTCGTGCCGATTTTACACAGCCAAGCTTCGCAGTATGATCGTGGATGGTTGATTTTGATTTATTTAGCATTCCTGCTAATTGAGACGTAATGTTGAGCGTGGGTTCTTCTCGATTTCTGTTCTAATCATATCTTCGTCCGTGGTGGACGGCCTACCTGGGCGTTCTTGATCTGCAAGGTCGAAATTTCCAGCTTTAAACCGAGCAAACCACTTCCGCACAGTTCTTTCGGCTACAGCATACTCGCCGTAAACAGCGCATATCTTATTTGCCGCTTGTGTGGCATTTTTGTCCTTTCGGAAAAAGAAAAGCATTAAATGCCTGCAATGCACTTTATTTGCCACCATATTCTAAGGCGTACAAAACTGATACAAATTAACGAATCGTAAGCAAACTTCTTTCCAAATATGGCTGAAGTTATCTCTTTTAGAATATGTACACATGTCATTTGTTTTCAATAATTGTGATATATTCAGTCAGGTCTCTCACGCTACCTACCGAAAATCGGCACGAACTTTCCGGACGAACTTTTGCACGAACAATTTTTTCCCCTGCGTTTAAGCTTGCAATCATTAGTCGACGGATCCTTGTGAAGAATAAAAAATGATCCCAGTCGATTGTAAGAAATATAAATTAGATGAAAATATCCTTCCCATTTTGACAATCGTAATCAATCGATAACAATGTCGCGACGTCCTTAAATTCTTCCAATGTCTTTCTAGCTTTGCATTTGACCTATTCACTTTTGTCGTAAGTGCATAAAATCCGCAGTCCAGTAATCATTTTTCCATCCCTTCTCAGGTCTATTTTTTATTTTAGATTTTATACTTTATTTTATTCTTTCGTCTATTTTTTAAATATTTCGTCGATTCAAAGAATACAAGAAATTTTGTATTCGACGCAAGAAAATTTGTGCACGTTTTATAATCAAATATAAATTATCAGGCGCAACAATATTGATTTTACTCCGCGATTCTAATTACCGTAGCTTTATTCTAGACGAGGCAGAAAGAATTCTTTAACCTTTAATCGTCCCTTATCCACGTTTATGTTGCTAGTTTCACCGTCGAACGGAGCTCGCGCGGAACGAAAGTCCCGGAAAATCAATTTTCGCGCGATGAATTATGAATTCGGCTACGCGGTGGACCCCGAGGGGGCGAGTGTAAATCGTGGCGGTGTAGTTCGTGGACTAATTCCGGCGATTCGATCGATGCTCGTTGTTGTCGCAATCGGGAAATGAGTTGAAACGCGTCATCGCGCGGCGTTCCTCCCTCTTTTTCCTCTTTTTTTTTCTTTTTTTATTTACACGCCGCCACGCAAATTGACGTGTGAAGTGCACACTTGTGTCTGACAGCCGGGCCTTCGAGGCTGGTGACGCGAAGGGGTTGAAAAAGCCACTACACCGGCTCTGCCGGTGGCGAAAGGAAGAAATCATGGATGAAAATTGGAAATCCGACGTGTCTGTTTAACCAGGGATCTGCTTATGCGATCCGCTGAATGTAACGTTCGTCTTTCTATGACACAAAGAGCGACAGGGACAAAGATTCTTTTATTTTCGGCTAAATACCGCGACGCTGCTACCGATCATAGTTCCATAGTAATCTTTTTTCGGATATTTTGTGTTTCGGCCCAACATATTCTCCCTGTGTACCGGGGGCTGCGGTAGGTAGAACGTTTCGTGGAAACTTCACAGGGCAAATTTAATTGGATTCATTCGGTTATCCGGCTCAATAAATCGGAAAAATCATATTCGAGAAGTCAGCGTTAAATCCGGCCGCATTGAACACCCGTTGATGGTGCAATTCTGCAGATTTCCGATTACAGTCGGACGGTTCGCTGGAACCATTTTCGGCGCAGATTTTCGGCGACGAATGTGATTGCGACGAAATTCGCTTCTCCCCCTTTTCTGGCTCGACTTTGATCATTTACGTCAAATGTCCCCCCCACCTTTTTTTTAATTGCACAAATTTTAGTAGAGTTTCTTTTTTACGCCAGTCGGTGTAAAAAGGAAGAGATGCTATTAAAAAGATACTACTGTAAAGCAGGATACTATTTTACGATTCCATTATAGACACCATAAAGTTGCGGTTCTTAAAAAGGTCTCATGGCATGGAACTTTTTTATCTACGTTATCAATACGTCGTCAGAAATCGCAAAAACGATTTGAATAATTATCGAGTGCTCGCAAGTCTACTTTATCATCTAAATTTTTTATTAAACGTAGCAACGAGATTCGAAGAACAGGAGAATTCTAATATTTCGATTGCACAAATCGATCGATGGTTTATCAAATATCAATTAATAATCAAATTAATAAATTTTATTGTTCAATTTATTTTAATTTTATTATTCAAATTATATTATTAATCAAATTAATAAATTTACTATTTCTAGCTGTTCTGTAATTATTAGAATCATTTTCCTAACGATACCTTCTAGCACTTTTATATAATTTGTAATTGTAATGTGCAATTTTTTCGGCTTGTTCAGACGCAACTGCAACTTTTCCGACATTGTATAACGTGACATGCGAGCAATCGATTGTTCAAACGAAAATTGCTAGGTCGATGACCTTCTGTTGATCAGTTATCAATGGAGAATGATTTTCTGGTATTTGTACGATGTCGACATCTGCACCAAAGAGGTATTATTACCACAGATGAGGTATAGGAGCAGAGATTTAGCATCCAATGTAAACTTTTGTCATCCAATAATGAGCTTTCAGAAACTCCATCACTATTTCCTTGTCTCGATCAACGTTACCGATATTTCAGAAATTGAAAATTCTTAGCGAGAATCGAGTATTACGTACACCTCATTTGTATTAGAGCAGGTTTTACGATTTGGAAGCCACACACAAAGTCATACTTTATAATTCATTTCTCGAAATATTTGTGGTTCAGAAGTTTTTCGGTATCTCGAGTTCTGTTAACAATTTTTATATAAACGTTAGATTGTAAAACAGACAAGAGAGTGCTAGAAGATATATCATTAGGAAAAGAAATTTTTATAATTATTAAATAGCTAGAAATAATAAATTTATTAATGAAAGGTGTCCGATTTGATAAACCATCGATCGATTTGTGCAGTCGAAATGTTAAAATTCTCCTGTTCTTTGAATCTCGTTGGTATTTTTCATGTAAAATTTAGATGATAAAGCAGACTTCCGAGCGCTCGATAACTTTCTTGCAAAATAATTTCAAGCAAGCATTAGATAATAATTAAATAATTATCTATCACTTGTATGCTTAACTAACATTTAAGCATCGATATTAATTATATATTATTAATTTCGATTGTGTAATCGAAATATTAAAATTCTCCTGTTCTTTGAATCTCGTTGGTTTTATAAACAATTTAGATGATAACACGAGCACTCGATAACTTTTTTGCAAAATAAATTGTTACAAGCATTCGATAATAATTAAACAATTATCGATCACTTGTATGCTTAGCTAACACTTAACTAACATTTAACGCGAAGTACATTGCAGATTTTACGCAGCGTTCGATTCAATCGAATCGCAATGGGAAACCGCAAATTTCGACGGCACCCTTATCAAGTGTGCGTTACAATTTTGGAGGCGAGGCACTTGCCGCAGAATGCGAGTCCTTTGGTGGTTGTTAAAGTCGGCAAGCAGAAGAGGAAGACGGTGGTTCGCGAGAAAACCGACGAGCCAGTTTACAATGAAGTAAATTTGCAAATCGATGGTTCTAGAAGGTTATTAATATCTTGCCAATTTTACACCTTTTTTTACCTGATTTAGTACTTCGTGTTCGACTTGTCCTGCGACTTGGAAGAGCTGTTGAGTAGCAGGATCGTTATAGCTGTTTATATTAAACACTATCTGCGCTTGAAATTTCACGGAAGCGCGAGTTTCGAAGTGGCCATTGTGTGGGAACAACCAGGTGTTGAATCATTTTTCTCTAATTTTATTATTTTCGATTTGTTTATTTTTTTTACCATTTGTTCTTGGTAATCGTATAATGACTTAGTAAATACAACTGACAAATTTTCACGAATATTATGATAAATAAAATAAAATTGGACATACGATCGGGCAGACCGTCAATTCTATCACAAATGGGCGATGTTGACGAACCCGAAGGACTTAGCTTCCGGATCGATGGGTTACGTTAAATGTAACATTACGATAAATGTAAAAGGGGAGAAGATGAAGGTGCATCCGGAGACGGACGGTGAGGATGACATTGAAGGGTAATTTTGACAAATTCGTATCACGAGTTAGAAGTATACTCATCGATTTTTAATTTCATTTCAACCGGTATACGTTTTTATTCATACGATAAGTATTCGCATGTACGTGGTATAAAATCCTATACTTCATTTGCGATATTAGCTGCAATGATTAAATTCGAATAAAGCGCCATCTACCAAAGAAACCGCCAAGCATGTAGCCAGCCGACCAGTTTGGCAGTCTCGTGACTAGATGGCGCAGCATGTAACATTTTTGACTCTTGCATTTGATGTCTTTTATTATTGTTTTCTAAAGCTGGCATTAAATATCCGAACTCCTATATAAGACACATTTTTCTTAGAAACATCGACATTACACTCTACTTTACATAAACAATTTAAAACGTGAATATGCAGTTATTGACTCGTTTTTGTCATAATCCTCATGTACGAGAGCTTCTAGAATTCATTCGGCTGTAAATATAAGTTTTGCAACTTGTTTTCCATTTTCTCGATACGAAAAAAATCCTAATAAAAAAATTAAGGAACAGTCCCTCAGCGAACTGTAAATTTTATTTTCATCATAATCAATCTACAGATTTCCGAGCCCTAAATTCTGTTTCATCAATTCTTTGGAGTGTCGCAGAATTTTTATTAATTATCTACAATTTATTGGGTTGGCAACTAAGTAATTGCCGATTTGTTCAATGAAGTAAAAAATTTTTTTTACTTAGAATGAAGTTTAATCTGTAATGTATTTTTCATTTTGTTCGATGACCTTTTGCCATCTCTCTGACAACTTGAAAATTCCACGCTCGTAGAAAATCTGATCCTTTTCGGCCAAAAACTGAGTTAAGTGAGATTTTACAGCGTCATCATCATTAAAAGTTTTACCACGAAGGGAGTTGTCCAGGGATCGAAATAAGTGGTAATCCGATGGCGCGAGATCAGG